TTCACCATGTTAGCCAGCATGGTCTCGATCTCCTGACCTCTTGATCCACCCGCTTCAGCCTCTCAAAGTGATGGGATTACAGGCGTGAGCCACCACGCCTGGCCTCTTTATTGATTTTTAAAATAGCTCATATATTCACATGGTTGAAAAATCACAGTGATATCAAAAGTCATTGGGGCTGGACACGGTGGCTCACATCTGTAATTCCAGCACTTTGGGAGGCCGAGGTGGGCGGATCTCTTGAGGTCAGGAGTTTGAGACCAGCCTGGGTAACGTGGCAAAACCCCGTCTCTACTAAAAATACAAAAATTAGCTGGGCGTGATGTCGGGTGCCTGTAATCCCAGCACTTTGGGAGGCTAAGGCGGGGGGATTACTTGAGGTCAGGAGTTGGAGACCAGCCGGCCCAACATTGTGAAACCCCGTGTCTACTAAAAATACAAAAATTAGCCACACGTGGTGATGCGTGCCTGTAGTCCCAGCTACTTGGGAGGCTGAGGGAGGAGAATCTCCTGCCTGGGAGGCAGAAGTTGCAGTGACCCAAGATCATGCCACTGTACTCCAGCCTGGGCATCAGAGTGAGATTCCATTTTAATTAAAAATAAATAAATAAAAGGCCGGGCGTGGTGGCTCGCACTGGTAATGCCAGAACTTTGGGTGGCCGAGGCAGGCGGATCACAAGGTCAGGAGATCAAGATCATCCTGGCTAACACAGTGAAACCCCATCTCTACTAAAAATACAAAAAAATTAGACAGGCATGGTGGTGAGTGCCTATAGTCTTAGCTACTCGGGAGGCTGAGGCAGGAGAATGGCATGAACACGGGAGGCGGAGCTTGCAGTGAGTGAGATCGCTCCACTGCACTCCAGCCTGGGTAACAGAGTCTCAAAAAAAAAAAAAGAAAAAGAAAAAGAAAAAAAAAGTCATTAAATGGACAGTCTCTCTCATTTACCCAACTCCCCACCCCTTAAGTGGTCCAGAATTATCTAGCCCCAGCTTGGCTGCAACTTAAGGCCACCATACCTCCCTGGAAGATCCATTTGGGTTTCTTTGATCTCATTCCAGAATTTACCTATTCAAATACAAGGAAGCATGACATCGTATCATTTTTCTTTCACACGAAAGTAACATTATGAATACTACACGTGACTGCTTCCATTTTTTTCTTCCTGGCAAGCTTCCTCTAACAGAACTTGAGAAACACTCTCGTTCTTTTTTTTTTTTTTTTTTT